AGATCAGGGGCCAGGGGGTTCTCCTGCTCCTGGTAAGGGACACGACAGCCCCCTAGCAGCAGAGCGCACTGGACCAGCGCTCCCGCCTCTTCGCCGCCGCCCCCCTCTCCCCCCTCGGCTCGTGTTTGAGCGGTACGCTCGAGGCGGTTGTGTTCACCGCGCCTTCGAGCCCAATACACCTTCGTCGTGTCGAGTGCTGGCGTTTTACTAAAGACTTGTGACCATGTGAGTCTATCTTGTACTTATGTACTACCACACTAAAAGCCGTATAGTGAGCCACTCACTCGGGCGTCTCGGCTGACGATGATCGATCAGCGTTGATCTCTCTAGCCTATCGGTCCCCCGCTCGATCCTCGGATCGCTCGCTCGTCGAAATCGATCGACTGAAGTCATCAAGGTGCGCGGCTGCCTTTTCTTTTTTCGAAAACGCGCACGCGCGCGCGCACACGCCCGTCGCCCCGGCAAAACTGTTTCAGGTCCGCCGCGACGTGTCGCGCCGTCGCCGCAATGGCGGGCAGCGACGTGATGGAAGCCATGCAGCTCGCCCTCAAGCCATTTCATATGCAGCACCTTGCCGACGACTGGGCGGCGCAAGCCGGCGAAAAAAAATCGCTCCAGCTGTCTGTAAAGGCTAAAGCCGTACAGAGCTGCCACTTGCCAGCACCCCCCAGCACCAGAGCTCTGCTGCTGGGGGGGGGGGGGGGGGGCCCGACCCCCCCAGCACCAGAGCTCTGCTGCTAGGGGGGGGGTCCTGACCCCCCCAGCACCCAGAGCTCTGCTGCTAGGGGGGGGGGGCCCGACCCCCCCAGGGCCAGCACCCCACAAAGCCTCTCATTCAAAGCTCTGGCCTCTGCTGCTAGGGGGGGCGGGGGGGGTCCCGACCCCCCCAGCACCAGAGCTCTGCTGCTGGGGGGGGGCGGGGGGTCGGCCATGACTTTAGATGTGCAGGGGGGGGGTACCCAGCAGTGTGGTGTGTGCGGCCGGCTCTAAACGAGATCGTACTTCGTAGTGACCCAAATAAATAAAAAAGGGAAAGCTCAAGCTCGAGGCAAACGCGCGGCGTCTCACGTGAACCTCCCCGGGCTGAAGGGGCGGAGGTCCCAAGTGGCCTCGCCATCCAGCATGAGCTCCGCGACGCCGAGTCCGATGGCGGGGCCCATCAGGATGCCCCAGCAGCCGCCTCCGGTCGCGACAAAGGCGCCGGGCGTGCCCGGCACCGCGCCGAGCATCGGCAGCCCGTCGGGCGCGAAGGGGAAATGGCAGGCCGACTCGAGCTCGACGGGCGCCTGAGCCAGCTCCAGGGGGGAAGGGTCAGGGAGGGCTCGGGAGGGTTCGGGAGATTGGGCGAAGGCTCGACCTGGGCCAGCTCGGTCGACACCTCGCCCATCGTCGACGCGAGACGCCGTGTCACCTCGCGCCGCACCTCCACCTCGCCCGGGGCCTCGCACACCGGGGCCATCGGGTCGGGGAAGCCAGTCACGTAGACACTCCCGTCCGGGCGAGGGTACACCTCGGCATCGCCTCGTCCCTGGAAAAA